AAATGCCCTATAGCAAAAATCTCTCTTTAAAAAAAAAAAAAGAAAAGTAGGGACCAGCAGTTAGCGTAATGGCTATGTCGCTGGACTCCCACGTAGTCGACCGTGGTTCGTGTCCCAGACCCAGTGGCTTAAAACTCACGCCAGGCATGTGTGCATGCGTGCCCAAGATCCCAAGAAGAGAATGGAGGAGAAGGGATTGCGGCGTGACCATCCCACCTGGGGGGTGATTTCTTGCTTTCAGTCTCTCTGTCTCTCTCTCTCTGTCTGGCGAGCACATGTGCCCTATAACAACAACAACAACAAAAACCCTCTAAAAAACAAAACAAAACAAAACAAAGTAACAACAACAAAAATACCCTACAGATAATTAAATGAGGTGTGTTTTATGATAGTTTTAAGTATGTATCTTCAGGATTTTTTTCTGCCTATTTTAAAAGAATTGTTTAGGTTTCAACTTCCTGGACTTTAAGGTCAGGGCCTTTGCATATAGTACCCCGACTGTGCAACACAGCAGCTTTCTCAGGTTCTGTCTGTCACTCAGATCTGTGGTTACTGCACGTGTTATTAGCACTTTGTGACACTGTAAGTTTCTAGAATGGAAAAGCAAAATTTGGGGAGGTATCAGTTTTGGGAAGACTGTCTCCACCTAGTCAGTGGGGAATTACTTTCTATTCCATTGCCATTTGCTCTTTGGCACATAACATTTCAATTGCAAATATTTGGCACATAGATTTTAAATTACAGGTTTAATGACAAAAAGAAACTTTAAGTAATGATAGATATAATGGAAAAGTGATAGATATTAATCAATTATTCATTTTAGATTCAGTTCCAAGCCCACCCTAAATGTGGTGGCATACACCTATAATCCTAGCTACTCTGGGTGCTGAAGCAGGAGGATTGTAAAATAGTGAGACTCTGTCTTAAAAACAAAAACAAAAAAACAGGCATGAACTCATATTACTTGATGTCCAGTAGTCCCAGGGCCTGTTGTTTAAGGAAGCCACATGGCCAACCGTGCAGTTGAAATCCCAGCCCTGGCAGCTTGAGAAACATGTCAGGCACATGTGCATGCCCCAAATCCCAACAGGATGGAGAAATGAAGGAAAAGGGATTGCACCATGACCACACTCCACTGGGTGGTACTTTCTCTCCCTCTTTCTCTATGTCTATCTCTCTGTCTCTCTTTCTGGCAAGTACACGCACTCTCTGGCTTATAAACAGACAAAACAAAAATATTTTTTTCTTTTTTTGGGAGAGGTTTTTGCTATAGGGCGTGTGCGCTCGCCAGACAGATAGAGCAAGACAGAGAGACAGAAAGTGAGAACTCACCCCCCCAGGGGGGATGGCCACGCCGCAATCCTTTCTCCTCCATTCTTTTCTGGGGACCCTGGGGATGCACACACACGCGCCTGGCGTGAATTTAAGCCACCAGGTCCAGGACTTGAACCGTGGTCGGCTACATGGGAGTCCAGCAACATAACCATTATGCCACCTGCTGGTCCCCAGACAAAAAAATATTAATTGATGATAAGAAAAAAGTTTTAGAGGTCTCATCCTGGGGCACAATGGTTAGCTCCTTCACTGAAGAACCCAGATTCTACATGGCCAACTGTAATTTGAATCCTCGTCTTCTCAGCTTAATGCTGGGTGTAGGTCAGTGCCCAGGATCCTGACAGAATGGAGAACTGGAGGAAAAAGGATTGACCAGCCTTCATGGGGGCGGGGGAGTTCCCTTGATTAAATAATAAACAGTCAGTAGTTTATTAGTATCAGAGCCAGCCAGTGGTTGGTTACGACAGCTGAATCCTACATGGCCAACTAAGGGGTTTGAGACCTGGACCCAGTGATATGAAAACATGCCAGGCATGTGTGCATACTTGCTCAAAATCCCGAGAAAAGAATAGAGGAGATGCGATTGTGATATGGCCATTCCCCCAGCGGGGGGTCGCTTTCTTACTTTCCCTTTCTCTCTCTCCATAGAGCACATGTTTCCTATAGTAAAAACTTAGAAAAGAAAAAAAAATAATTTTTATAATATGAATGATTAGACTAACTATACAAGTCTTTATGTTGTTTCCTTTAGGTGAAATTCCCAAGCAGGTCAAAGTGAAAAAACTGAAGAACTTGAAGACTCTGGATTCCAAACCTGGTATTGACTTTAATTAATTTTTAAATATATACTTAGATGGGCATATGAGTTTTTCTGTTTACCTTCTTTTCTTCACTTTTTAGGAGTTTATACTTCTTATAAGCCATATCTAAATAGAGATGAAGAAATCATAAAACAGTTACAAAAGGTAATTACTTGCACACATTATTAATTTAAATTTTCTTTTACAAGTACACAGTATTCATTTAGACAATATGTATGTTATGTATAATAATGTGAAAAATTTTTAAGAGATTTTTGCTGTAGGGCACATGTGCTCACTAAAGAGAGAGAAACAGAGATACAAAAGTGAGAAATCACCCCCAGTGGGATGACCATGCCACAGTCCTTCTTCTCCGTTCTCCTCTCAGGACTTCTCTGCCATTCTCCTCTCAGGATTTTGGGCACATGCCCCCATTTCCCCAGCTTGAGTTTCAAGCTTCCAGGTCCAGGACTTGAACAACGGTCAGCCATGTTGGGGTTCAACAGCATAATCATTATGCCATCTTCTGGTTCATAAAAGTCTAATGCAGTGGCAATTATGGCTTGAGTATTGGGGCAGTTATGTCTTGAATATTGAGGCTATAAACAAGTATCAGTCTTTCTAGAAATTTGAGAGTAACAGTGAAAAAAATCATAGATTGGGATCAGCAGTTAGCATAATGGCTATGTTGCTGGACTCCCACATAGTTGACCGTGGTTCAAGTCCCGGACCCGGTGGCTTAAACTCATGCCAGGCATGTGTGTGCGCATGCCCAAGATCCCGAGAGGAGAATGGAGAAGGGATTGCGGCATGGCCATCCCCCCTGGGGGGTGATTTCTCGCTTTCTGTCTCTCTGTCTCTCTCCGTCTGGTGAGCGCACATGCCCTATAGCAAAAACCTCTCAAAAAAAAAAAAAGATATAGATTTTACTGTAACATAGTTTGGTATCTCACAGTAGGGAATAGTTAGCATTTTTTAAAAATATAGATAGCTGAGGACCAGCAGATAGTGTAATGGCTATGTTGCTGGACTTCCATGTAGTTGATAGTGGTTCGAGTCCTGGACCCGGTGGCTTAAACTCACGCTGGGCACTTGTGCGTACATGCCTGAGATCCCAAGAGGGGAACAGAAAAGGGATTGCAGCCATCCCCCCTGGTCGGGGTGATTTCTCACTTTCTGTCTCTCTGTAGACTCCCACGTAATCGACTTAAAACTCATACCAGGCACATGTGCTTGTGGGCCCAAAGTCCTGAGAAGAGAATAGAGAAGGGACTGCAGTGTGGCCATCTCCCCAGGGGGTGATTCTTGCTTTCTGTCTCTCTGTGGGCACACACAACCTATAGCAAAAATCTCTCTCTCTCAAAAAAAAGTGGGGCCAGCAGGTGGCGTGGTGGTTAAGGGCGCTGGACTCTCACATGGCCGACCATGGTTCGAGTCCTAGACCTCACAGTTTGCTTTCTCACTTTCTCTCTCTCTCTGCCCCAGTCTGGTCAAAATAAATAAATAAATAAATGAAGTAATTCTTAAAAAGATAGATAGATAGATAGATAGATAGATAGATAGGCAGGTAGATAGGTAGTTTTGGGACTAGCAGATGGTGTAATGGTTACATTGCCATACACCCACATGGAAGTCTGGGGTTTGAATCCCAGACCAGGTGGCTTGAAAAGCACATTGGGCGCATGTGCATGCATGCCCAAAATTCTGAAAGGAGAATGGAAGAGAAGAGATTACAGCATGGCCATCCCACCTGGGGGCTGATTTCTTGCTTTCTGTCTCTCCAGCGAGTTCATGCACCCTATAGCAAACATCTCTCTTATAAAAAAAATACACACACACACACATACACACACACACACACACACACATATACATGTGTGTGTATGTGTGTGTGTAGAGAGAGAGTGAGTCTTGGACCAGCAGATGACGTGGAGGTTAAGTCAGTTAGATCCCACATGGCCAGCTGCATGGGGCAAATCCCACACCCTGTGGCTTGAAAAACACACCAGGTTCCTGTGCTTATGTGTTCCCAAATCATGAGGAATTGTGGTGTGTTTCTCATTTTCCCTCCTCTCTGTTTCTGTGAGTGCACATGCCCCAGAGAAAACTAAAAAAAATACATAGATAGAATTGATACAGCAAATATGAAATAGAGGATCTTCATAGTGAACTGATATATATATATATATTTTTTTTTTTTTAAGAGAGATTTTTGCTATTGGGCGCATGCACTCACCAGAGAGACAGACATGGAAAGTGAGAAATCACTCTTGGGTGACGTTGACCATGCTGCAGTCCCTTTTCCAGTCTCCTCTCAGGATCTTGGGCACACACGCAGATGTGCCTGGCATGAGTTTTAAGCCGCTGGGTCCCGAACTCGAACCGCGGCTGGCTTTGAGGGAGTCCAGGGAAGTAACCATTGTGCCATTTGCTGGTCCTGAGTGAACTCATCTTTCAAAGTACAAGATGAATGTTGTTCCTTAAGCTAAAGATTTTTTTTTAATTACTTATTTATTTTTATTTGTTGTTGTTATTTTTTAATTTGACCAGAGAGAGACAAATAGAGAGAGAAAGGGAAAGTGAGAAAACAAGCTACCAGGTCTGGGATTAGAACTGCAGTTCGCCATGTGGTCATCCATGAACTAAAGTCCATGGCCAGGTTACTTTGAAACGTCAATTTGACAATAATACTTATCACATAGGATGGTTGCAAGGATTATAAGAGATCTTGTATATAAAATAGTAAGCACATTTTCTGGAACATATATTAATTATTATTACTAAAATATGTAGTCCTCTGGATTATCCAAGAGTTAGTTAAATTTTTACTGAAAATTTGAATTCCCAACTAAACTTAATTTAGCCATAAGTGTTGTGAGGAATAATAGAGCTGTTGATGTCTATTGAAAGGACATATGATAAACTTGGAAATCTGTTTAAGTAAATTCTGTCTCAGTGTGTTTCAAAACCTTAACCATGATTGCCACCTGCCGGCACAAGCTAAAGATTCATACTTTTTATTCTGAAGATTCTTTGCACAGTGAACTTTAAATTACTTTAAGATGAAGTTTAGTATTTTTCAAAATGTCACATATATATATCTAATTTAATAACAATTGGGCTTGATAATTATCCATTGTTTTTATTTCCTGACACTGGGATGTAAATTCTCATTGTTTTCTCCTTTAACGATATACCACAGAAACGTCCCTCTGAGGCTCAAAGTGTGATTCTTCGACGCTATTTTTTGGAACTGACACAAAGCTTCATCATTCCATTAGTAAGCTACCTAATACATTTCCACTTAATTTAATGATTTGTTGAAGGGTTTCTGAATCTTTTTCTCATCTTTGATTTTTTTTAAGCTATATGTTTTGTCTGCTGATGTGTTTAGTGGCTGAAAGTGCAGCCCTTTTCAAGAGGCTTATATTCTTTGTTGCAGTATTAACTGGGCAATTTTGTTAAGTCAGTTCTCTCTGACCTTCAGTTTTCCTTTATGTGAAATGTGGTTGATTCCTCTTGTCCTAAATACCTTTCAGAATGTCGTAATCTTAAATGAAATATTTGATGTGAAATAGTATGTAGTTACTACATGTTGCACCTTCAAAGGTTACCTTAGCGCTTCTTTCTCTGGGTTGTTGTCTTGAGTCCAGTTTGATAAGGTACCTGTGATACTGTAGCTCTGTGATGATAGAGACCGTATCTGTCTTGCTCATTATCATTCCCTCAGTTTGGCATATGGTGGCATCCTATATTTAGGAAACAAATGACTAGATGATGTGGTCATTCTAAGAAACGTAGTGGAGTATCATATTAAAATATAGGCAGTACCATGATGTAGCCCTAGTCTGGAGACTGCCACAGAGAGATTTTATGTTGTTATTAATGTAATCTTTCTATGAACATTATATGACAGTGAGAGATCTTTGCTGTTAAATTTTGGAAATAAATATTCTGGCTTGGTTTATGGATGTCAATTTATTTGTATCATTTTAAGCAAATAAACTTTACTGTAGTATGTAAGAGCATGAACTAATGTCTATGGCCAGGTTACTTTGAAACCTCAGTTTCACAATAATACCTATCATATAGGATGGTTGCAAGGATTATAAGAGATCT